CGCTCTCCGGGTTCGTCCTCTCCAATAACATCATCATTTCAAACATTATTGAGGACATCATCAATCTCGAACTCATAAATAATACTTTCTTAGGTTGCCAACATTCTAGGCGTGGGGTACCTACCTGCCTTCCAACGTCTCGAGCTCGTGCGTCCCTTCACCGATCACTTGTAATACTCTATAAGTACCTTCCCATTTGGTCCCAATTTACCTAGATCGGTCTCAAGCCCCATAACTTTCTATAGTCTAAGATGGTCAACTCGGAAGTAGCGTCTCTTGACTCGGGCATTATAATACCAGGCTACTAGCTTTTGGTAAACCGTAGTCCGGATATAAGTAGGGGCTGTTATGATAAAGGTGATTAGGAGTTCTTTATAAGATACAATTTGTTATGTTAGGATAGAGTTTGAGATGGAATAAGAAAGACTACATAGAGTCCTACATAGAGTCTAAGAGTTTGAGTTTGAATAGATTTGATATCTGTTTCAATCTTTAAATATGATGTAATTATAAGATTAATTAATGCAATCTGACAAACTTTCCTTCTCTTCTATCATGGTATGAGAGCCAAAGGTTTGAATCTAAAAGNACTAGCTTTTGGTAAGCCGCAGTTTGGATATATGTAGGGGCTGTTATGATAAGGGTTAATAAGAGTTCTTAATAAGATAGAATTTGTTATGTTAGGATAGAGTTTGAGATGGATTAAGATAGACTACATAGAATCCTACATAGAGTCTAAGAGTTTGAGTTTGAATAGGTTTGATTTCTGTTTCAATCTATAAATATTATGTAATTATAAGATTAATTAATGCAATCTGACAAACTTTCCTTCTCTTCTATCATGGTATGAGAGCCAAAGGTTTGAATCTAAAAGCCTCCCACCGTGCTTCCTGTGTCTCCAGCTGGTGGTCGGAACCATAGCTAACCGTCGGGTCCCCGCTGCCTCTTGTTTAATTTAACTTTCCATTCATATGCCTTTTTTTTAGCCAATTCTATTTTAGCTTTTACTTGGGTTGGATAATGCTGAACATGGGAAACCTGGCGACAAAGAAGAATTGTAGAAGATGGCGAATGTGATTGATTTGGACGGCAATGGGTTATTGATTTAAACATGTTTATTGAGTTGTACACGAATAGGGTTC